TTTTATTTAAGCATGGAGAGACACCTGAATGCTCTGAAGATAGAATCTCATGATCATTTCTTTGTACATAGTGTTTCTCTTAGCCTACCAGACAGATACCATGATAACAAGTTACCACCATGGAAAAGAACTACTGGGCTCAATGTGAATCCTGTGGCCTGATGGGGGTAGTCAATATGTGTTTCATAATTTGAAAACCCAGTTATAGAAAAATGAGGAAATGCAGCATGTCCTAACTTATCTTTTATGAATGGTGCCATAATAAATACAATTTCCCTTTTATAGTAGGTCATTCCATTTTTTTTTATAAAGTCAGTTTAAATCATAAAGTCATAGCAAAACTTGAAAGTCTTAAGTTGCGAAGGACTGTTCCTCATGCTTGCCCTGGAGACTGTCCTTCATTTGGCACAGTTGATGTCTTGTCATTCCTGATCACAGTGGCTCTTGAGAAAGCCACACATGCCTGAAACACTCATAACTTCAGTCTGCTTTCACTGTCCTAACCTATATTTCAGCAGCTCCCCTATGATGCTTGTAGAGACTAGAAATGGGGAAGGAATGGATCTGGATCATCACCAGACCTGGAAATAGTCTCTAGCTCTGCATTTCTATAAAACATGTATGTGGACAACTTTCCTTGGAATAATGTCTGTGGCACCCTGGGAACCTGATAATGGATGGATATGGAGGAGATATTTTTGTGGAAACGGCGACTAAACATATTCCACTTGTATATCCACTATAGCTCCTCTCTTTAACAACTAGCCCAGCATTTCAGGCGAACTTGTGGGCAGAATGTCTGTGGCTAAAGACAGACTAACTTGTTAGTCACAGGAAATCTCAAGTACTCAAGTAAAAAGTACTTAGGAAAATGAAAACAAGAATAACCAAAAAGTTTAAAAAGCTAATATAACTTGGTTGTTAGACTTAGCGGTGATAGAGTGGTAACCCATAGCACTTTCTCACAGAATTATCCTGATTGGCTTTGCTGTTACCTACAAAACCTGTTTTTGTTCTTCTATTGACTTAGACATTTAAAGCATAGACTCAGCTCTATCGAGAGGTGGTATAATCAAGTTTTCCAGGACCCTGGAATCAATGACTTGCTCCTGGAGCAAGGAGATCTGGTTTTATCTTATATCTGTTCCCCACTTGCTTGATTTCCTTCAGGCAATGCCTAGAGTGGAATACACCATTGACGTCTGATAATTATAGAGTAACCTTAAGATTCTCCCTGTTTTCAGCTCAGGGTTAGTGTAGCCACAACAAGCTGTTGTGATACAGATTCGGGTTGGTATGATATTTGGTCATCACCATCCAAATGAAAGACATTTATTTACCAGGGGCTTTCAGTAAAACCTGTTTTAATAGAACAATATATCTGTAGATTTAATCATCACAAAAACCTTTGAGAAGTAGCTGACATCCCCTGCCCCCAACCCCAGGTCAAGCTCTGCTTTCTCCAGGCCATCGAGTTAGTAGTAATCTTAGCACCGTTTACTTAACCATGACCTGAAACTGGCATCGTGCTGATGGTTTTTACCATCATTTATTCAGCTCTGTCACCTTCTGGGGTAATGGGATTCAAATCCAGCTCCACAAATGAAGGATCTGTAGCTTGGAATAATGAAGTAACTTCTTCAAGACCAGGGTTAATAGAAGAAGTTTTAGAGCCCTGTGTTCAAAATGTGGCACAGTCAAAATTTAGGCCAGGACTACTGTGCTCCTCTCTGCTTGTGATCTTGTAATGCACTGTAGCCAGACCTACCTGCAATAACCAGGTGTTGCTCCCAGTTGACTGCATGGCCTCAGGTGAGCTTGCCCATCTTCCCGTTGCTATCATCCCTGCTAGTCTATAAAGAAGGGCCATGTGGAGCCTTGGCATCACGTCTGTGGAGAATAAAGAGGGCTGCCTTATGTAGGAGGTGTGCCCACACTGACACATGTGCCCACCTGCTCTTATCTCCTGCAGCTGAAGCCACTCTATCTCCTGGTTCGTTTTCTAGACCTCTCCATAAGCACTAAGAAAGAAAGGCTGGCTTAAACTTGAAAAGTGACAGACGCACTTTAAAAATATCTGTTTCTGACAGCATGCATTCCACTCTTCCAGAGGATCAGCGACATGCTGATATGTAAGAAGGAGGACCAAGAAAGTGAAAATCCAAATGATTGAAAACAGCAAACCTGTGGGGATGCAATAGACTGTCCTGGGAATGATTGGCTGGATCTAAATTAGCCACATTGTTTAAGCAGAGTTGCACTTTTTTCCCCCTGAGCCTTGATGCTGAGCTGAAAGTGAAGACAGAGTGCAGTGTGTCTGGGTTTTTCCTTTTGACCTTTCCAGAATCCTAATTAAGGATATTGCAGATGCCTTATAAATGGATCAGTCTGCAATAGGTTGCCAAAGTGTTTATACTCTGTCTGGATCTAAATGGTGCCCAATGGCCCTTGTAGATCAAGAGCACAGCTGTAATCGATCATTTTCTCATCAGTGAGCCTAAAGAAATTTACTTTTAATCTCATTTATGGACTCTACCGAACTCTGCCAATATGTATTTATAGAAGTGCATGTGTGTGTGTGTGTGTGTGTGTGTGTGTGTGTGTGTGTGTGTGTGTGTTTAGTAAAATAGGCAGAGAAAGTATTATATACTTCTTCCTGTTTTTGAGATACTGCTCTGCTGGGATGTTTAGGGCCAGTGTACTTTACTAGTTTATCTTAGATGAACACTGAAAATGTAAAGAAATACAATTGAGTGGAATTGATACATTTCCAAAACTTGGGAGCAGTTCCTAAGAGTTTAGACTCTTGTTTTAATGTCTGTATTATCTATAATACAGACTTAGAGTCTTGAATACCTTCCCCAACTCTTTAGCCATGGTTGGAATGCAGAGAAGTTTAGGAGGCTGTCAAAGTTGCATTGAAAAGCTAGCTGAGGAAGAATAGCCTGGCAGACTTGGAATTGTGAGTTCATGGATGCTGACTTATTAGTGAGTGCTGCCCCATGTTGAATTCTTGGCCCATAAATGTCATCATCTGGACTTGAGGAGTAGGAATGCTGGTAGAGAAGGAAGAGTATGGAATTTAATAAGGTCTGAACTCAGGTGGTGCTTCTCATTACACACTTGGAGAAGTCATGGTTTGTTTCAGAGTCTTGTTCAATTCTTAGGTCACACAGGAAAGTTTACCTGTGATGTGTTCTAGGATGATTGGTTGATTTATTTACTACCAATTTTTGAAAGAGAGTCTAATGTAGCCCAGATGGGCTTCACGTTTGCTGAATAGCCCAGGATGACCTGGGACTGCTGATTGTCTGCCTCTGATCTTCCCCTCCCACCTGGTTCTTTAACTAGGCTGAGGATAAAACCCAGGGCCCTGTGCTTTCTAGACAGACCCTCTTACAACTGTGATAAATCTGTAGACATGCCATGTTTTTGAATGAACAAATGGAATACTATAAGAAAATATACTGTATGTTCTTTTTTAAAGAACAAAATGCTACTGAAAAACTAATAATACTTTACTTTTTTTTTTTAAAGGCATCTTGTCTTGTTGCTTGGGTCAAGGATTTAGCCTATTTGACTCTCTTGGATTTGCAATGAAACAGACTAGGAAAGCATACCATGTGCACAGGTTAGCAAGGCTGTGGTAGGCAGTACCTTTTGGCCAATACTCTCACAATGCCCAGACTTTGGTGACCAGAATAGATTTTTCATTTTCACCCAGTCTAGGACCCAGGTCAAGCATTCCCTCTTCTTTAGTTTCTCAGCCTTGTCCATTTCCCTTTTCTGTATTTATTCTCACTCACTTCCTCGGGGGAAACACCCCTTCCCCAGTGTTGTTAACTGACCATGAGTAAATAATTTGAGGACCTGTGAGTTGAGACTCAGGCTGAGTAGACTCTAGGGGAGAGTAGTGAGTCTGTGCTCTTTTTGCCCTTCTCGTGGATCTCTTCTTTTATAGTTCAATCATCAAGCACAGTCATGCATTTCTCCTTCGAGGGTTATATAGGCAAGATCCAGAACCCACAGAGCTAAAAGGAGTTTGAAGTTTGGATGGGAGAGAAACCAAAGAACAATTTTCAAATCAAATGTTGCATAAATGATATTATTCTCAGAGAAAAGCTTAAGGGATGTTGTTTCATATTGCCATTAATTATGTTCTCTGTATAACAGTTTAAAATGCAAATCTCCCATCAGTGGAAAAGAGTCTATCTGATAAAAATGAAATATTTTAATTTTCAGACCCATGAAATAAAATAACTAGTGAAATATTTCCAAAGTAAGGGTTGGTTTAATGAAGAAATTCTTCAGCAAGGTGCATCTTAAATCTACAAATGATGCCATGTTATATGAAAATAAGTTTCAAAGTTTGTTTAGATATTTCTCCTCATTATATTAATATTATTTGTTTAGTGCTTTATCACCTTTATCACACATTTTGCAAAGATAGATTTTTATCACACACAGTTCAATTTTCTAAACACTACAAATTACTAATGCTTAACCAGTAAAGCTCCAAAGTGTGAGGTTTTTACTGTACATGAATCTGGTAATCAGCTTAATAATAGGCAAGCATTTCTTTCATTAAGCAAATGTATGCTGAATATGCACTTGAAACAGAATTATAGATAGTAAAGATAGCAACATAAGATACTAAACTTTTAGTAACTCCTCCCAAGTTTTGGATAATATCAGTTCTCCTCAAGTAGATTTTTTTTTTAACTTTTCATTTTCTTCTAAGATAAACCAGTAAAACACACTAGTATGTGGTTGATTAAAAAGAATGGAAACAAAATTTAATATCATCTCTTAAATATCTGCCATACACATCTGCTTCAGTCTTTGTTTTATTTTAGTATAAGAAGGATATGGTTGCAATACATATAATTTGTATGTTGCTTCAGAGTTTTTAATGCCCCGTTCTGTGTTTTAAAGGTCATTATGCATTTAGTTTGTTTCTGTTTTATTTTTCATAGTCAAAAATTGTCCTTTTTTTACAGTTAATCTCTCAGTATCTATCGATACCACACTAGCCCCAGAGGACCTGCCAACAGTTTATTCTACTGACGTGGTAAGTGACTTAATATCTCAGCTACCCACACAGTGTGCAGTTTATGCATTGTGCTCTGTGGTCTCCATTTATCAATGTTGATCATCATTGCCCATAGAGGGAGAGAAAAGAACACCTGTCATCACCATAGTTAGTTTTTCATCCTCTTAAAAGAGATGTGAAACCAGTGTTTACTCATAACATTATTTTTAAACCTTTCTTAAAGAACCTAATGCTAGCTAGATCCCATGTGTTGTGACCTTGAAACATTTCTACAGGAGCAATGAGCATGTTGGAAGACAAGAACTAATGTTGTCAGATTCTGGCCTGGCTAGGCATTTGTCTGGCTGACCCAAGGGTGCTGCCCTCCCTTCACTAAGGGTGACAGCAGCAGGACATTGCCCCATGACTGAGAAAGGACTGCGTCTCCATCACACGGTGTCCTTTCCCATGGCTTGTAACCAGGGACCTTGTGGGCACTGGAACTAGGTTTTAAAAATGAGCTGTTTTGCATGGAAGGTCACATGCTAGAAGAAAACTTTTATGCTGGAGAAAATGGGGAAAGTGCTGTTCCAGGCCTCTCATTGTTCCTTGCTTGCCAAATATGGACACCGACCAAAGAATATCAATCTCCCAGTTACAAAGACAGAAAACATAATACCTTGTATTGAGAGAGTGCCCATCTCTCAGGAGACCAGAACACTTCTGCAGACATTGTGTAGACGGTGCCCACAGCATCCCTCTCAGAGATGCTGTTTGTGTCCTTCCTGGGCGGTTCTCACATGGTGCTGTTTCTCGCTTGTTTTTGTATTCTCTGGCTTTCTTGACTTCTTTCCTTACCTCGAGAATTTTCTCTGACTTTTTTTTTTTTCCAAACATTATGTCTTCTATGTGTTTCATACTGTGTCTGGATGTGTGTGAATGTGTGTGTGTCTGTGTATGGATGTGTCTCTGTGTCTGTCTGCCTCACTGTGTGACTGTGTATGTGTGTGTCTCTGTGTCTGTATGTGTGTGTCTCTGTGTATTTGAGTGTGTGCGTGTGTGAATGTATGTGTGTTTATGTGTAAGAATATATCTACATGTTGAAAACCACTATAGAAGAATTCAAATCTTAGTTTCTTTGCCAGCCAACCCAGAAGAACTTGCCTAAAAATAGAGGAAGAAATGCTTCCTTCTAGGTTTTAAAGAATTTTAGTTAAAATTCTTTTTTTGTGCTTTAAAAAGAAGCCAATAAAACCCTGAGTTCATTTGAAATAAAAATTTTAAAGACATTCGACTTCACATTGCTTCTTAGCCTCACGGGGACCCCAAGGGGCCAATTCAGCATCTAGCCAGCCCTGGGCAGAGTAGCTGCTTGTAGCCAGTGTCACTGTCCTCAGATATTCGGATCCCCACTGGCCTGTGTCCCCTCAGTCACCGTGATGATTAGTGGACAAGAATCGGAAGCCATTACTTCTGAGAGGCACAAGTTCTGGGTGTGCTGTGACCTGCTGGCTCTGCTTCCCTGGACTTCTCCTGAGACACACGCTCATCAGGACTGAATTGCCTTCTTTGGTCTGTCACTAAGTTAGGAGAGAAGGTGCAGTAAAGGCGACATGCGGCCCTAGCCGTGAGTCTTCCTCTCCCAGGGTCCCAGGTGTGAGAGGAGGTAAGGTCTCTCCCCTTCCTCCTCATCGGCATGAAGACAAGCTGTCCTGCTCTGCAGAAGGCATGAATTCAGGGGAAGGAGCAAGGAGGAGGGGCATTGCAGCCTCGAGATGGGAACTGCCAGGATAAGACAGTGTTTCCAGTGTTTCCACTTATTGCTGGAATTATTTTATCCTCGTCTCTGCCACCTTTCCTATTGATACTTTGCTGGCTATTTCTCTTTCCCTTGCAAACAAATTCTTTACGTGGTCGCTGAAGAAAGGCTTTGAAAGGAGCTTCAGCTGGTGACACAGTGTATCTGAATGAGATGGTATCTGATGCCTTCCAGCTTCTAGCCCCAGGGTCAAAATCCAACATCAGTATCCCCGAGAGATGACTGAATGAATTGCTTGATATTTGCTCCTTACACGAGATTCCCCCCTCTCTCTCCGTATTTTAAGTTCATTTGAGGCATCCCTTGAACACACAGTTCTGACATGCTCATTTCAGTGAGTTTACAGTGGCATGCTCCATGTCACAGTCAAGACATAAACCATTTCCTGTATCCCAGGAAGCCCTATGGGATAGTTTTGTTTACTTTCTGAGAGAAGAAAGATCATCCTGGCCTTCAGAGGGCAGATGCCTTGGTCCTTCAGAAGACTCTGAACACAGCATTTGCTGCTCAGTGGGCGTCCTTTACTATGAGGGACTTGTAACATTTCAGAGTTCAGTTTATTTAAATGTCTTTACATCCTCATCTCTGGTGGATTTTAAACTCTCTGATTTTACAAGTTACCTAGCTTGCTTTGCATGTTTGTCTCAGAGCAATAACCTCAACTTTTCAGAAATATAATCTTAGTCACAAGCAGAATAAGCATTATATTTCTATATTTCATGAGAGTTCAAAGAACTGCTGCTCAAATATATGGTATACATGATAAAGAAAGATTGGAGATCATACAAATATAGCCTGCCCATGGTGGGAAAAGCCCTAAGTGAGAGTATCTACTCCCTGAAGCTCTCGTTTAATTATAACACATATATATTATATATTATACAATATATAATACATATAATACTGTTGCAGTCACATTATTCTACTAAACAGTCTGACGTAGAAGCAATAGTGATTTGATCTGATGTACCTTCAGGGTGATTCGAGGAGTTAACATTCATTTTCACAGGAATCAGAAGGTCATATTAATCTTATTCATGGCATCCTTGTGGGTTTTTTTCCCATTGAGGAAGTCAGATGTAAAAACTACTCTGTCCTTAAATATATTTAAAGATACATGTTCGTACTTTAAAATATGTTGTAGAAAACTTCAGATACGTACTGAACTGAAATCAAAGAGAAAAATCGACTGCCACATGTATGTCACCGAGGCTCAATGATTGCCCACATTTGTCTATCCTGTCCTATGTTTCTGACTTTTTTGGGAGGAGATAGTATGGAACTTTATTTTTTTTTTAAGAAAATCCTTGTATTTTTAAGAATTGTGGTCAAATCCACTTAGTATAAGCAGGATAGTTCTCTTGAAAATGAGATGCAGAAAGATGATTTGACATTACTTTTCAGGAGATTGTTCTTTTTCAAAATCCTCAGCTGCTTGGTTCTCTCTATAAACCTTTGTCCTCGGTACCCCTTTCCACACAGTAGTTTACCCCATTTGACCACTGGTCACGGGCTCCTCCATGGTGAGCACTCATATGCTCTTCACACAGGACTCTGTGTGTCTCCACATGAGCATCTCTGCTCACAGTGTCTAACTTTTCTCCCATGTGTTTGCCAGGACATAAAGAAATGCACACCAAAGTCTGCTGCTCATTTTCCTCGTCCATTGGTTTTGTTCCCTGTTATTTCTTAGTTTGCTTCCTGCTTTCCTTACTACCTTTGAAGGAGGAGAGGGCTTTAAGACCAGTCCCGCTCTCGGGGCCTGATGTAAATTTCGTCTTCTCTGTACTCAGTGTAAAAGCTGGCTTCCTCCTCTGCTCTCCTAACCATGCACTTATACAGGTTTTTTTTTTTTTTTTTTTTTTTTTTTGGTTTTTCGAGACAGGGTTTCTCTGTATAGCTTTGCGCCTTTCCTGGAGCTCACTTGGTAGCCCAGGCTGGCCTCGAACTCACAGAGATCCGCCTGCCTCTGCCTCCCGAGTGCTGGGATTAAAGGCGTGCGCCACCACCGCCCGGCTCACTTATACAGTTTTTTTACCGCCTTATATTATTAAGTAATTTCCAAGCAAACATTAGATTTCTCTAAGGAAACTTGTAAACATTGTTGCTGTTTCTTTCATCTTTTTTACTCCCTTAAAAGCTTGTATTAATTTATCCATGTATTTGGGTGCAGCCATATCCTACACTGAATCCTGCTCCTTGTCTGTCTGTCTGTCTCTCTGTCTCTGTCTCTGTCTCTCTCTCTTTCTTTTTGTACTGTGTGTGCACAGTCCTATTGGTCCTTTGGCTGTACAATTTATCATTTGTAGATTTTGTCCAGCCCCAGGCCAAAGTCAGTATCTGTGTCTGTGTCTTACCTCCCCTCCCCCCATTCTTGTTTTTCTCACCACCCCTTTTTCCTTTTCATCTCCACAAGTAGTTGAGTTTGGGTGGTTTGTATTGTCTCGTCCTCCAGGAACAGATTTTGTGTTTGCTATCCCTGAGAAACTCATATAAAAAACAGTGCAGTGCTCTGGTGTTCTAGCATATCCTTTGCTACCGTATTTTATTTTAAAAAGTCTGAAATTGCCATTGAAGCTTTTTGCTCCCGCTCATCTCTCAGCCCATTGTGCGGCTTTCGCCTTTCACCGCACTCCACCCACCGCCTTCTGTGGTGTCTCACCTCCCTCATGGACACACGGGGTGCTCTACACGTTTTCATTCAGTACATTTGTAGTGGTATTTGAGCCATTACTCCAAGGTCAGCTCTTTGCCGTTGATGTCTCCAATGTTGACATCACTCCTACATCCACTAGACATCTTTGCAAGGATTTCCAAATTCACTATTGAGAGTGGGCTGCAATATAATTGCTATGCAAAATTATAAGCGTCTTAAGAAGAAAAAGGTGATGTGAGAATTCTAACAGTCAGAGATTATGTTCTCACTTGTCCTATTCCTAAAGACCAGAGAGTATTTAGCATAAGAAATAAAGATGAAAAATCATAGATGTGAGAAACACCTACAAAGAGATAAAAGACAGTGGCAGTGTGATCCAAGTCTCCTGAATTAACCCACAGCAGACACCGGGGACTTGAACTCAGGTAGTAGCCATGGCTCCAGATGCATTTCTTCATGATGTAGATTCTCTCTGAAGTCTTAAGGAATTAACCTTCATTTAACATTAGCTTATATGAAATAATGGAAACAACACAAATCATATAGATGTGTTTTCTGTGGTCTTTAAGTTGAACTGATTGTCAGCTACACTTGAGGTTTTATGAAAGCCATAAACTTTTTATTTTGGAAAATTACCTACGTTAAGATATATGCCAGTTGCCTAAAGGTTTATATGTGAGACCTTAGTTGTAGATGGGATTTGGAGGTTAACTTTTTCAGATAACAATAATGGTTTCATCTGGCACTTTTAAAAAACATTGGCATTGCCATTTTGAACTGACGGATGGAAGTTAAGCTACCCATCTTGGCATCTGTATGTGCCATTTTCACGTGAACCTGAATGTTTGTCAGAAAATGGATAAAAATTCCTGTTGGGGTTATTCCAGTGTATCTTACATCCCTGGGGGAATTTCAGCTACAGAGAAGGACTCTGCTGATGTTACATTGCTGATGTGAAATTAGGCCACAGTTTTGCTGATTTTTAAAGCAAAGAAATATGCTACCAATTATGACCTCTAAACGTTAGCTCTATTCTCCTGAAAGCATCCATATGCAGAAATCTAAAAAAACAACACAAGACATGATTAATCACCTTGCAGAGTTCGATAAAAGCAGTTCTGCAGTTCAACTGTTTACAACTGGAGGTAATGGGAAAATATTTCAAGTGAAAATCTAGAGTTGATTTTTATACCTTGGATAGGCATTTTACCTTTTGAGTTTTATGAAAACCTCTTCCCTTTCTGGCCAGACTGGACCACTGATATCAAGAGAATTCCTAGAATGGTAAAAGATGTTGATTTATTTGATGTGACATAGAATTCTTTCCTTTAAAGGACAACAGAAATTTATCATGCCACACTTTTTTGTAAGGTATTTCTAAGTAATTCTCATTATTATAAGTGTCCTCTTAGCCTGGAACCCAAGAAGATACAAGTTATAAGGTAGTTAGAAACTTTCTCAGATGAGATATCCAATCATTTCCACTAAACACGTTGACTTTTATTTAGGCAGAGAAGGTTCTGGGAATGCAAGTCTAGGAAGCAGCCATTGCTGCCATAGTATGAACACATGCTCTTTGTACAGCAAAACCAGCATATTTAAAGGGTAATTATCGAATAAGGCTCAGATATAAGAAATAGCTGCACAGAGATTCTTTTACATAAGAGTAACTTTATCACAGAAAACCATCAAGCATAGGAGGAGCATTAACCCCTACACTGTTGGATACTAAGGGTGAGAAACCTATTGAAATTACTTAGAGGTTTCCGTCAGACTCTTAGAGTCTAGAAAATGTTCCTGGGACTTAGAGGCCATTGACTTGTAGTTGTCCAATCAGTAAAGTATGCTGACTGTTTTAGAATTAGATTCTAATAGAAGGATTTCACTTGTATGGCACTAGTTGAGAGTATGCCTCAGACTGAGTAAGAAAAGCAGTTCAGGACAGGTCAACTGTGAACAAGGATGTGTCTCAGCTGAGTTTAGCCTCAGCCTGATTCTGAAGTTCTGGAGTATAGTCTGTGCCCAAGGGCTGTCCTGTCCCTGAGCAGAAGCAGGTAGCTTAGGCAGTGATTGGTAAGGTGGCTGTTGCATGACAAAGGGCAGCTTGCAGAGAAGCAGCTGGCTGTGGTTGGGTAGGAGCTGAGGTGGGCGCACCGGTCTACCCATGACACGAGCAAGAAGATTCACCTCTGTATTATATACAGAAGATAGAGGGAGTGGCCAGAAAGATGTGCGGTGTTGATGGCAGGACAGCAACATGAGAAACTGAGCTGTGTGCTTGAGATCACGGGAACACAGGACTGGAGATCTCTCACACAGCCGAAGGGTTGCAGAGGTATCACAGCCATTCCACTCACGGGTGTTCCAAGTGCTGACCTATGGTCAACAAGAAGAAAGCCATGTTGTATTAGGTTTGCCACTGAAGAGTCTTTGTGCACACTTTGATAGTATCATTTCTTCAGTCATTAGGATGCACTTATTATGATAAGAAATAGCATACTGTGGGTTAGTTACCTTTTAGAGTATTGATAGTTACATAAGGTAGGTCAGTATGGACCTAGGTACACACAAGTAAGTACTTTGTAGTTTGTGACTATTAAACAAATGGCTGGTTGTAAGAGGGAAGAGCAAACTGCATAACACACTGCATAATCCCTCTCATTGGGCTTCTTAATCCCCTGTCACTCTAGTAAGGCCTCATCAGGGTACTACATCCTCCAGTGATCATCTTCAGATTGGTGTATAGTGGTTCTGGTGCAGTCCATCTAGATCCCATGAAGTGTGAAAAGCTGCTTCAGATGTGTCAATATTCTCTTAAAAAAAATCCTTGTTTTATTTTCAGTACCATAATGCCACCTTTGACTGGGCCTATTTGTCAAAGAAGGAGTGTTTGAAGTATGGAGGAAAGCTTGTGGGAAACAACTGTGATTTTGTTCCTGATATCACACTCATGTCTTTCATCCTCTTCCTGGGCACTTACACCTCTTCAATGGCTATGAAAAAATTCAAAACTAGTCGTTATTTTCCAACGACGGTAAGTACCTGGGATTTACAGAATTTTCATTGCATTTGCCTTGTCTCACCATTAATGCACTTTTACAAAATGAAAAAGGCACCTGCAGCTCAGCTTGTCCAGTATTACCTTGTACATTTAAATAATACATTCTGGTCTTTGTTCATGTGAATGCACATTTGACATAATTGTAGTCCTGCTTCAAGAAACCTTCCCAAGATTTGCTTTTATAATCCCATTGTAAGTTCTGGCTATAATATTTGTTAATGTGGGGCAATGGAGGAATGTGTTGTGTTCCATCTAAATGCATGTGACTGAAAAAAAGGACCCTTTAAATCCATGATGTTTAAATATATAATAAGCAAAACTTTTTCATATCGGTCAGGGATTTTAATGGTATATAATTTCTCAATCATCGACTATACATATATAGAAATTCATAGAATTTTTCAAACATTGACTATACATTAGTGTTTGCATGCTGTCTGTGGGCCTAAACTAAAACAACTCTGTACACTGGGATTGGTGTAAGATTTCACTATTTGAGTAAAATTTTCCTTCCCATAATACTGAATGCTGTAGTACCTAGGATGTAACTGGGTTGCATACACTTCCTCTGCCCTACCAGTGTGCTTGAGTAAACTTAAATTCAAAGCTGAAGTCCCTTGAGAGGCTAGACCAATGTTAGCTATTAAATATCATGTTTAAAGATAGAAATGAGACCAAGATACTTTTGCTTTACAGTTCAGTTTGTAGTGTTTAAGAGGTCAGTGTTTCCAGGTAATATGCTTTAAATATGATTTATATCAGTGACCTGTTTCTCTCATGAAACTGCTTCATTATGGTTGATATAGAACTTCAGTAGACAGAAGCCTCTTTCTAGTCCCTAGAAAATGAAATTTAGTATATTCACTTTCTCCTAGGAAACTGTGGATGTTCTGATTTCTTCTCACAAAATAGAGAATAAAGGGAAGAGTTGATAATGAGGTGTCTAAAAGTAGATGGCCCAAGGAATGAACATGTTCCATAAAGAGAAATGGGGGAAGGGTTCAGTTTAACCTGATTAAAATAGACTTTATTTACTGGAGTTCGGCAGGCTCAGAGGCATTCTTTGTTTAGCGCACAGTGTGATAACAGACACACACACACACACACACACATACACACACACACACACACACACACACACGGCATTACCTAGAACCTGGCTCTGCAAACGGTCTCCTCTTTCCCACTTTTTACAGTTCAAGGCTTCCCTGTTTCACTCCTGGGGATTAGGTTATTCCTGTGCATTTGACATTGAGGTCCCAGCACACACCCAGGCGATGTGCTTAACCCGACTACTTCTTCAGTGGATGAGTTATATACAGAACAGATTCCTGGGTCAAATGTTTAAGGACAATTTCTTCTAGATTGTGGGTTGTCCTTTGTTGTTACCAGTTCATGGGATCTTGGGTTTTGTTTGTTGTTTTTGTTGCATTTTTTACAGATCATGACTTCTTGTCAAAGTCTGATGTGTTTTGAGCATTGTTAGTAGAACTGTGGAAAGTTTGTAAAGCTCTTCTTTGTTGCAATTTGTAAAACAGACTTGTGTCAAACTGCGGATGAAAACCAACTATCTTTTCTACTTTTTATTTTAATTGACAAGGAACAATTATGTGCATTTGTGGAACACAATGTGATATTTTAGTATATATTTATGTCATAGAATGATTATATTAAGCTACTTAATGTATCTGTAATTTCATATGGTTAAATCATTTCTGCAATGAAAACAAAATCTCCTCTTGGCAAATTTGAAATATACAACATATATGAGCTGTAACCAGCATGTGTAGAATTGATCCCAAAAACCTACTCCACAATTGTAATGGGTTTTGCATGCTTTGACCAACATCCTCTCCTTTCCCTTGCTCCTTGCCATCTTGGCCTATGAGCCTCACTTTCTAAGTTTCTACACCTCAGTGAAACCATGCAGCATTTGTATTCTATAGATGGCTTATTTTACTTTCGAAATGCCCTCCAGGTTCCTCTATTTTGCTTCAAATTTCCTTCTTTTAAAATCCCAAAAAAGTAGGATTTCCTTCTTTTAAAATCCCAAATAGTATGCCAATTACATGTCTAGTTATATAATAATGTTGAAAGTGAAAATAGTATATATTTATTATTTTTTCATTCATTCATCTGTGGCTGATATTTAGGGTGATACTACGTATTGGCTGTTGTGAATGATGCTGTGACGTAGGGAAGTACACACAGGCCGTGGCACACTCATTTTATTTTCTTTCATTATATGTTGAATAATGATGAATGGGACTGTTGGATCAGATGACAGTTCTCTTAATTCTTTGGGGGAACCGCCTCCCATTATCTGTAACAGCTAAACTAAATTACATTCCCAATGATACAATGCGAGGGTTCCCTTGTCTCCAAATCTGGGCCAAACCTTGTTATCTCTTGTCTTCTTGATAGTGGTGATCTTTAACATGGGGGAGCTCACAACTCATTGTAGATTGAATTTGTGTTTCTTGGATAGTTAGTATCATTGAACATTTTTTTTTTACATATTTCTTGGCTTATAAGCCTTTTAAGATATGCCTGTTAAGTGTGCTGTGCATTTTAAGTGGGCTATATGTGTTTTACACTTGAGTTCCTTATATATTCATGACATTACCCTCTTGTCAAGTGAGTGGTTGGTAAATATGTTTACACACTTTGCACTTGCTTGCTTTCTCTGCTAATTGCTCCTCTTGCTGAGCAGAAGCATTTTAGTTTGATACAGTATGATTTGTCAATTTATCATTTTTTTCTGTGTTTTTTGGAGTCAGCTCTTGCAATAAAATTATGATGTTATTTTTTTTCTATTTGAGAATAATCTTTGTCAAGTTCAGCATAACACCTTTTGTTCTGTTTGCTTCTAAAATATTTATGGTTTCAGTTAAATAATCAGTTTTGAGTTGACTTTTGAAGGTGTGAGGTAATGGTCTATTTTCATTCTCATTCTTCTGCATGCGAATATCCAGTTTTCCTACCACTGATCATTGAAGAATTTTATTTTCTCTCCATTGTAGATTCTTGGCACCTTTGTTGAAAATCAACTGACTCTTGATGGATACTTTTATTTCTGGGATCTGATTCTGTTCTGCATACTTTATGCTATTCTATTACATTATAGAATCAATACACATACATTACATATTAAATGCTGTACATATATCTATCTACTTATCTATCTATCTATCTATCATCTATTTTATCTGGCTATCTATATATCATCTATCTATCTAACTATCTATCTAGTAATCTATCTAGAAATCTTTGTAGCTTATTTAGAAGTCAGATATTGTGATGGCTAGAGCTTCATTCTTCTTTGCTCAAGATTGCTTTGGCTATTTGGGATGCTATATACTTCCATACAGATTTTAGGATTTTTTTATTTCTCTGAAAAAAATGTCATTGGGATTTTTATCATCAATGCATTAGATTTCTTTGAGTACTGCAAGCATTTTAACATTATTTATTCTTATAGTCTATGAATATGAGATCTTTTCATTTATTTGTGCTTTTAATCAATTTCTTTCATTAATTTTTATACTTTATAGATCTAAGAGTATATATAATTCATCTTGGATAAATTTATTACTCAATATTTTATTATTTGTAGCTATTATAAATAGGATTGCTTCCCATTTATAATTTTAATTTTTTGAGAATTTCATACATGGGTACATTGTCTTTAAATCATATCTACCCCTTTCTCTTTGTTTACAGTTCCTTCTGTGTCTCACCCAAACAATCCCCTCATGAATTCATGACCTCTTCTACAATTATTTTTGTGTTTTACATACATACATACATACATTCATGCATGCATACATACATACAGTCACATATCCTATAGAATACAAATAGTTTTGCCTATATGTACATATGTTTAGGACTGTCCATTTATGATTGGACAACCTATCAGGGAGCTCATCTCTAAAGGAAACTGATCCTCCCCACTTCAACAACCATTGTCTACCTCTAGACCTTCATCTAAGGATGGGACCCTATGAACTTGATTTTTCTTTTGGAGAGTTTGTAGTAGTGTGTAGAAATACCATTTGTTTTGTATATTGATTTTATATCTTTAATTTTACTAAATTTAATCAGCCCTGGGTTTTTGTATTATTTTAGTGGCATTTCTAGGATTTTCTGTCAGTAATGACACATTGTCTGTATCTTAACTTCCTTTCCTATGTGGAGGCCTTTTGGTTCTGGTATGGTCTGGAACTTACTTAAAGTAGCCTGTAGTCTGGGGACACAAAGGCTGGCCTGGTGCTGAGTAGGCCTAGAGGCCAAGACATCATAGGGACCGAGTCCATTGTCTCTGACATGGTATTAGGGGGAGTTTGTACCTTAAGGCTCTGAGGCTAGTCTGGTGTGGAGTGAATAAGAGACTGAGTTGCAGGGAAGTTATAGAATCTTGAGATACTGGACCAGACTAACTCTGTGCAGTCCTCTGTACTCACCTGGAGACCAAGGTGATGGGAGCTCACCTGGTCCTCACACTGATTTTCCTGGAGTGTGTCTAACATTTGTGTCTGTGGACTCATTCTCTATCCTGTCTCTAAGCAGAGGGCATCTGTCTCTAAGCTGCATTGCCTGGGGTTGGAGAGAGGGTGATTTGTTGCATAGGATTTTCTTTCTTAACCTCTTCTTTGTTGCTGGAGGGCTTCTCTCCAGGTTCCACCAAGCCCCACAGTCCCACAATCCACGTATAAAATAATCACTCAGATGCTTATATTACTTATAAACTGTATGGCCGTGGCAGGCTTCTTGCTAACTGTTCTTTTATCTTAAATTAACCCATTTTTATAAATCTATACCTTGCCACGTGGCTGGTGGCTTACTGGCGTCTTTACATGCTGCTTGTCCTGGCAGTGGCTGCAGTGTCCCCCCCCCCCTTCTTCCTGTTTCCCCAATTCTCCTCTCTCCTTGTCCCGCCTATACTTCCTGTCTGGTCACTGGCCATCAGT